CTCCGAGGGTTGCTGAAATCTTTGGTATTTTTTAGTATGTTTTACATTAAACAGTTTTTTAGGACGGTTTTATAACCACATTCAAATGGGAAAATTTCTTTGTTATACAATACTACTCATGACTCATGTTTGTTGTTGCTTTTAGAAAATATACAATCTAAATGAACTTTCGATAAGAAAGCATTTTAAACATCATTCTCAAACAATGCATTTCTTTCTTCTTCTAGATAAAAAAATCTGCAATTGATTCAGAAAACCAGAAAGTTCAAAAAAAGAACGGTCTTAAATATCAAAATCTCGGGTGTTCACACATGTGTGCGAACAGAACCAGCTACCCAAAAGGAAGAAACTTCTATTGACAAATGTAATTAAAAAAGGTTGCTTAAAAACTGAAAAAATTCTCTTAGAGCTTGGAACCTACTTTCTAAAGCTGGGGCTCAAAGTGAAGCATTAACTAGGCAGGGGAATGGCTAAGGCAAAACTGGAAATGGAATGAGATGCTGATTGCAACAGCCTCACACTCCGAGGGAGAGGCTCTAATTGCATCTTGGTGGATGTCCATATCACAGCACATCAATCATATATTCTCCCCCCACTTTCCAATTCATTAATGTGCACAAAAGGGTTAAATTAACTCCTTTTTTCCTTATAAAATATCCCGAAGATGAGCTAACATTCAGTAGAAGATTGAGATATCGACCAAAATTAAATTGGTGGACTATATTCACACTCTAATACAGCTAATCTAGCACAACAAGCCCATGCCTCGTCCTCTCTTTACTTCTTTACCACAACTAAAATGAACGTGTCATATGAAAAAAAAAAAACGCTTGACATTCAATGGGCATTTGACTTTTGAAGTTAAATCGAAATTAAGCACAAACGACAGAAATGTGGTAACTTTAACCGCAGAAAATCAACAACTTCACAATGCTTATCCAATTAAACAAGACCCACCTCCCACCGGCAACACCAGCTGGACAAGGCTTGAAAAGTGAGGCCGATTTCTCAGAGGCATTTACACAAACAGGTGGTGCGCATGCAATTGCAGCAATAAAAGAAAAGGGAAAATAAATATATCCCAAACCCAAACGAGTGGAAAGTGAAATGTGTAGTGTGAATCGAACACAAGCAGACGATCGAAATCGGTCCCGGCCTCAGGGGCAGGGGGCCACCAGGTTGAAAACAGATTAATAAACAAAAAAAGAGAAGCATACAAGATTTGAATTTCGATTCCGTTTGACTCACCAAATTAGGCAGAGAGAGCAAGAGGAATTGAAGAACAGTAAAAGTAAAGAAAACTCACAGTGTGAGGAGGCGCTGACAGCGGCATGGCTGGGGGTTCGAATCTCCATTATCGAGAGGGATCTGTGTTGACCGTCGAATGCTCCACGTGCCCTCTCTGCCATTGAAGAACAGCTTCTACGCTTACGTACATGGAATGATAGAATTGAAATTTGCTTTTCGTACAGCCACTTTATCACATCACATGTCTTCGTCCCTTTCTTTATCTTGATTTGATTTGATTTCTATATCTTCGGCCTTTTTCTTTTTGGGAAAAATATCATTTTCATTATTAATAAGTTGAATACATACAATTAAATATCATTCCTTCGCATCATACTTTCATCCGCATCTAAATATATTTATAGATTCGATATTGATATGAAAAATAAATTAAAATTTTTATTATAGACAGAATATGAAAAATATCATTAATATATACATAATATTTATATTAATCATTTTAACTTATTTAGAAATAAAAAAATATTTATTTGTTAATTTAAATTTTTTTACAATTTTTGAATTTCTCTAACTTTTATTAAAATATCGATTGATATCGACGTTTTATCGATATTTCCATAAAATTGAGAATTTGATATTTTTATCAATATCGACATTTAAAACCTTTGTTGAATCCATTCCATAATAATTTTGTTTTTCTTTGTTTTTCTTTCTCTTTTAAAATATTGTTTTAATATTAAAAATGATGCTAAATATATCAAATGATACTTAATCTGGTAAGAATTCTAAATTTTAGCATAGCCCATATTATCCTCGAATAAAGATCGAGCTTCAAAACACCTCATGTGTTGTTTAACTAAAAAAATAGAACTTCTCAATTTTAGTGTTGATGTATTAAAAAATTTCAATCGGATCATTTTGTAAAAAGAAATGATAAATTTTGTTAATAACAATGTGATATATCGTTAAATTATTGTTATATTAATATATTTAAATATTACTTGATGCATCTAATTTGACCCTTCATTAACCAAATTTATTGATGTATCTAAATATGTCAATCAATTTTAATATATTATTTTACCGGAGTACTTAATTGATAAATTTTAATATATTAAAAATAACTTTTAAAATTTTAAAAGATTATGGACTAATTAATTAAAGACTATCTAGCTAGACCACGACACTATAATTGAATATATTTAGCCTTAAAAATTTAATTTATAGTCTCTAATTTAATTTATTTTTTATTATTAAGATGATAAGTGTTTTTGTAAACAAAAAGTTTCAACTAAACATAGATGATTTTTTTCCAAACGAAATGATTAAAACAATTTTGTTTTAATTAAAAAAAAGTGTAAATGACTCATTTTCGCAACTATTTAATCGAAAAATAACAAGCTCTGTTATTAGCCCACGTAAACCTAGTACAAATGGATTAATGCATATGATGGATCAAAATGTTAAAGATTCAAATTCTATATTGTCCAATTAAAAAATAAAAAAAAATATAGGAATTTTGATGAGTAAATTTGATCAAATAAAAAATTATAAGAATAGTATATATTATGACTCATTTTTATTTAAAAATAAATAAATTATTTTATAGTTGTAATATATTATATTAATGGATTTAAAACGTTTTAAAATATATTTTAATAAATTTTAGTAACCACCCATCATTAGAGTCCAAGAGCTGAAAGTGGGATGTTGATTTAGGACTTTTATTACAGTTGAGAATTGAGATATCATTTGATTAGTCATATGTCAATTTCATTTGATAAATAATTTTTTTTTGAAAAGGAATAAATAAAAAAAATTAATATAGAAACATTTGATAACTAAACATAAAACCATCTTTTAAAGATGTAACATTACTGTTTTAGCATTTTAAATCATTTAAAAAACCTCCAAACTTAAATTATTAAAACAATATAAGGACTACAAAACTGTATTGGAATCTTTTCCTCTACCTAATCAATTTTAACTTTAAATTTTTTATTTCATCTGAATTATAAACTCGAATGGATGGAAAAGCTATTTTCTTTTATAAAATGATTTTTGGTAATTAGGAGTATTATTACAATCGGTAGTCGAGTGAAACTATTTTTGAGAATATTTTTTTTAGTTTGACAAATTGAGGTATGAAGCTTTGAACCTCTGACCGTAAGAGAAGGAGTAGATATCAATACCGCAAAACTATGCCTATACTAGCTTTGTGAATACTAATTATTCTCGTCTTATTGAATGTTTTTTTAATTGAGTTGGAGCATTTTTCTTACGTATTTGATTTTGTGATTAAAACATTTTCACCTTTTAGTTTGAACATTTATGTGGTTTTTTGAAGGTTGAATTTTGCATTACTTTGTATTAAATATTAATTTGACTATTTATTCAAGTTTAGAGTTTAATGCGATGAAATTCAAAGTTTAAATTATAGTTTTTTTAATTTCTTTTGATTTTATCAAACTTATAATGGGGTTTGACAGAACTTTTGAAAAAAAAAAAACATTGGGTTTGATATAACTTTTGAAAAGGAAAGACATACTTTGAAATAAAATTTTCGGATAAGCACTAATTAAGCGTCTTAAGAATTTTTAAAATTACTTCGGATTATCGAGAAACTTAGAAAAATTTGATAATTGTACCGATCATCCAAACCTCACACTATTATTATTTCTAAAATGTTTTAATTGAAAAAAATATAATAAACCAAAATAAAATAATTAAAAAAAGTATAAATATTGAACTTTTTTTTATATAATTTGAAAACGATCCATGTATTTTAAACTTTTATTAATTTAACTTTTGTTGATGCGTGGATTTCGATCCTCCGGTTCTCCTCCTCGCACCCACCAAACTTGTTGATCTAGGACCAGTACCTGCAAAACCAAGCCGAGCTAAACCGGTGTGACTCTAGTCACACGGGCTYCGATGCTTAAGTTAGCAAGAGAATAACGTAAATGTAGTCAACTTTTTAGATGCCCTTACCTCTAAGGCTGGATCGCTACTTATAGCCATGAAGTTGTTCCAGAACTTTCCGTAACTAACCCTAATTCCGTTGGAGGGCCTGGGCGAGATCGTGGATCGAAGACGGAGGGTCGCTGGAGGGATGTGGGCCGAGCATCGGGTCGGGACTGAGCACTGGGTCGGTACCGAGCCCCGGGTCGGGACCGAGCCCCTCGCGGCCCAGTGGGCTTCCCCCCGATCATCACCTGTACCCCGACTGCCGATTCCCATTGCATAACAACTTTTAATTTTTAAGAATAGATATTTCTACTTTTGAAAAATAACTATATTAATTTCTTAATTTTTCTATCTCATTTATTTTGATCATAATTTTAACATAATAATCTACTCACTAATTTTAAAGTATTTTGTTGCGTATAAAATTTGTGTTATAATTTTACAAATAAAGATATATTTGATAATTTTTTAGAAGAATAGATATCAAAATAGACATGTTTTAGAAATATAAAATTTAAATTAACTAAAATTAAAAATAAAATAACCAAAATAAACACAGAGGAATAACATATAAACTAAAAAGACATTTAAACCGAGAAAAGAAAAGTGAGGATGAAAATAGAATTAAAACGAATTTATAACGCGTGGGGTTTTCCAGAATGACAAGTCGGTGAGAAGAAGCTGATTTCGAATTCTTCAACGACACGGAAATCAAGAGCGAAGAGGAAAAGGAAAAAAAAATAAAATAAAATAAAATATTAAACATATTTTTGTTGTTCGTTTCACAGCCCCAAACGAAACCCTAACCCTAAGCTTCGTTCTGTTTTCCTGTGCCACCCGCCATTGATTTAAATACCACCAGCTTCCTCATTCTCCAACCATTCTCAATTTTCCTCCATTATTTTCTTCTTCTCTGGGCTCCCCTTGAATTTTATTCGACCCCCTCTTCCCCAATCTCTTTGATTTTCGGGCCTCTGCAAATCGATCCGGTGGTTCCAGTTTTTGACTCTGGATCTTCTTTTTCTTTCATCCGCCGAAATAGATCAGAGAATTTTTGAAAGGGTTGTGAATGGTGGAAGAAAATTCTAGTAGTAGTAATTACATGCGCTCCCTTTTGGATTCAAGGGCGAGCGCTCGTCTTCCTCTGTCCGCTGCTTCTTCTTTCGCTTTTGGTTCTTGCAAGGAAGGCTGGTACTACCGCTGCCTCGGTGTTGACCCTTGAGATCGCGATCTCGTTTCTCGCTCTCTCTTTATCGATACCCCATTTGAAGGATTTTTTATTTTTCTGATAGTTCGTTTTTTTTTGTTCGATTTTTTGGTCGCCACGCTAGCTTCGGTAAGTTTCTCGGGGCTATCGTCGGTAGCCGATTCTCTGTTTCGAATATAATTTGAGGGAAAAAGAAGGGATTGGAATATTTGGGATTTTGATTTTCTTTCTTTACAACGCAACGATGTTGCTGTACAAGCATAAGAAGAACCAGAATGTTAAGGGCAACAGGCTCTTGATCAGCATCAATGTGCTGGGAAGCGCTGGTCCGATTCGATTTATTGTGAGCGAGGAGCAACTTGTTGCTGCTGTTATTGATACCGCGCTGAAATCCTACGCGCGAGAGGGCCGCCTGCCGATTCTTGGCTCCGATCTTAACGATTTCCAGCTATACTGCCCAAATGCTGGACCAGATGGTAATTCGAGCATATCTTTTTCCTCAATTCGATCGTATTGCAATTTTCACTACACTTATCTACTGCATGTTTCGAATCTGAAAGCCTGGAGATAATTAAGATGCTATTCTTAAATTTATCATTTCGTTTCTTAAATTTCTGTGTTGGGATCTCTGTTCTGGCATTTTGTGATGTGGATCTCTGTGTTTAATGTTGATGTGTTATGATCAGGATAGAAAATTAAAATCTGGGATATTGTTTTTCTGCAGCCTTGAGTCCATGGGACGCAATCGGCTCACACGGAGCTCGAAACTTCATGTTGTGCAAGAAGCCACAACCAGAGAAGATGGGAGAAGATGCAAAATCACCACCAGGGCCACCCATCTCCTCCCGAAAAGGGCCAGGGAGCTGGAGATCATGGATCAACAGGTCTCTGAATTTGAAAATCTATTCCCATTGAATCCGTATGTCGACAATGATGGGTTATTGCTGCCAATTAGGTTTGTTTTTCGTCGTTTATTGTGCCCCAATCCCTTTTGGGGGCCAAATACCTCCGAGAGGAGTTCTGGACCCTTGGCAATTTGGTTTTTTTTCTTTCCCCTTTTCTTTATGTAGTCTTGTCGGACCCAAGCTTCAACTCTCCAAAAGTTGGGTGGCTCCCTTTAGAAATAAGCTCTGTACTTCTTCAGAGTTGTATCCCTTTGAAATAAATTACATTCTAGTTTTTCACTAGCCATGTATTGTCGAACCTGCTTAAGTCTCAGGAAAGAAGATGAAGTAGTTGTTCGGTTATGCTTTTTTGAGCTCTTGAACTCAAATATGCTAGAATTCTTCAAGTTGAGTTTCATGTCTTATGATCAATCTGATTGGTGAGATTACTGAACATATTCGGGTGAATATTATTATATTAGAAGTGTTGTTTGGATCGAAAAATGAAGGGGTGGTGTTGAGCAGTTTGAGGAATTGTATAATTGATGATAATGTTTAGTAAAAGCTGCTGGTGGTGTGATGTGATTGTGAGATTTGTATGAAAATTTGATGATCCGTACCACGTTCTTGTGGAATCTGATTATGTCATTGGACTGAAAGTCTTTTTCCACGAATGGTGTATGGGTCACATCTATCCCTTTTCTTACAAATTATAATTATAATTATTGTTACTTTAGGAACAGAGATTGTTTTTTAATATTTTTGTTGGGGGGAGTGATTTGAAATCTTGATTGGTTTGTATATCTTTCTCCATCCCTAACTTTCTTGTTGGGATAGCAAAGAATCATCCCTAATTAATGTAATAGAATTCTCTTTTTTTTTTTCCAACAATAAATCAAGTCCTATTTATAAAACTTAATTCCCACCCTACCTACTATTACTCTCGTGCTCTTCACCAACTGATGTGACTTCAATACATGTTTACTTAATACAAAAACTACAATGATTATTTTAAAAAAGACCAAGAACTAAAAAATATATATTTTGAAAATTAAAAAAGCAGAATGAAATAAATCTAAATGAGACTTAAAAGAAAAAATCTCCCATATATAATAACTTGATGAATATTATAGGAGAATTGTTGGAACCCAAAACCTTGTGTTGATGAAAAAGGTATTATAATATAAATAATTCAAAGTAGCATGAGTAAAATGTGGTGGTGGTGTGTGATGTGATTGTGGGTTTTTGTAAATATTTTGAAGCTCCCTACACAAAGTTTCTTCTTTCTTTCTTTCTTTCTTTTTTTCAATTTTTATTTTATGTACATAAAGTTCTCTTATGGAAATCTGACCATGTCATTTAGATTTGGATTACAAGTCATTTTCCAATACCATCCCTTTCAATTATATATCAAATAGTGGGTCACTATGTCTATTGACTATAATAACCCCACTCTTATCTATCCTTTTTTTTCCTCTTCCTTTTCCACCAAGTAATGAAATAAAATTATATGTTTCTTTTCTCTCTCCAAACTTCCATGTTTAATCGGACTGTTAAGATTGTATCAATTTAATCCTTCATTAACTACAATGATGCATCTAGAACGCTTTCAAATTCGTGTCTAATAAATTTAAATAATAATAAATAATTAATTACTTTTTAAATAGAAATATTTTTTTTAGTACAATATGTGAAAATGGGAGTTGAAAATATATGTCAATTATCATTAGTTATATTCATTTTGCATAAAAAAAACGTTTAATGCAAAACCATTATCAATTAAAATAATAATAGCCCACTATCTAGAGTACATGTTACTTTTAGTTTACCACGCCTGTTATATAGAGTACAAAAATTCAGTACAATATTACACATCAGACCAATATTTCACACCAAACCAAACACATCACAAAAAAAAAAAGGGAAAAAAAACAATTTCAGTCTTATTTTTTAACATTATGATTTGAATTTAATCCATCATCCCCATTATGTTGTGTTTAAAGATTATGAAGGATGTCCCAAAAAGAAAAATTCAATGCAAGAAATTATTTATAAATATAACAAGCTTTGTCCTGACTAAATAATTCATTATTGAATATATAATAATGTAGCATATATTTAAAATTTTAAATTGAGTTTATGTTTTAAAATATTATCTTATTCAAACAAGTCAAAAGAAAATTGGGGCAAATCATTTTTTTAGAGTACAACTAATGGTACTCATTAGATTCCTTGCCTTCTTTAAAAATACAGCTACTAATTGGTTGTAAAGATTGGAATTTTGTTAATTTCGGAGAATGAAAATTTTCGAAAAATTAAGATTAAAGTGTAGGGAAAAAAATGTACGTTAACTAAAATTGAAATTGATTCATTAATAGGATGAGTTTATCTGACCGAAGATAATTTTAACTATATACATATAAAATAATTGCAACGCAATACTCTTGTAACTTTGATTGCATGCAAACATGATATCAATTCTACTTCTCATACACAACGGTCCATTTGACAATGCAACCTCCTTCTCTTACGTCCCCCTCCTTCTTTATGTATGTCTTTAATCAAGTTCTTACTTTTATAACTAAATACTAATCAGTATATATAAATTTACTATCAAATTATGTTATTAGTATATAATAATATTGCTTAATAGTTGCCAACATGTAGCTCGGTGGTAATTGACATTTATTTCTTAAAGTCGGAGGTTCAAACTCCATACCCACAATTTGTTGTACTAAAAAAAAACATTGCTTGTGATCTAATATTTTCCATACTAACAAATCGTTTCAAGTATCAATCCGGACATAGTTCAGTAGATAAAAGAGACTTGTTACCATCTCAACCATCACACGCGGAATTCACTCATTTAAAACATCACACAATATTATTTAGTTAATTATATTACAAAAACAATAAACAGATGAAAAAGTATATCCAAAACGTTTCACACCAAACCAAACACAGCATAAAAAAAGTGGCAATATCAGCCATTAAATTGAAATCAAAAGCTTATTATTCATTAAGAAGATGAGCCTCTGTGGCTGCGATCACTTTCACTGCAAGGTCCATGTAGGCCTCTGGACGTGCAACCTCGTCGTTCCACTTCTCGTAGTCGATCGTCAATTTCACGACGCAACCCTCCTTTTCTTTTTCCCCTTCTTTGTTCGGGTCAACTTGAATGGTAACCTTAAGATGCTTATAATGGTGTCTCAGAAGGTCTCCTTCCACCACTTTAAAGATTATCGTTCTCTTCTCATCATCCACTTCTTCTACCTTTTCTTTTAGGTTCAGAGCCTCCCCGTCTAATCAATTTGAGTGTTATTAGATCAAATAGCATGAAGATAATATTTACTATAAAGTTTAAAATTTTAAAAATGTAACAATTAATACGTAGGTTAATCAAGATAAAAATATATGGATTGATTTTCATCATCCAAGTCAATCGATGATTAGTAAACTTAAAATGTTAAATTTGTGATTTCTTTTTAAGTTGATACATTTATAATTACTTCTGCACAAAAAATATACACATTTATAAATATTTTGGAGAATGAATGTGCCACTTCATGATAAATTTTGAGCAAACGCCTTTTGGGCCCATTAATTAACGGGCCTTGATTCAAGCAGCAGGTCACAGTACAGTACAGGTTGGTTCTGCTGCGGCCCATACGTTTTCTAAATGATAATATTTTTATAAAAAGAAAATCTTAAAATTAAAATTTTTGTTAGATTATAAATTTGGTACATATAGTTTGAACCTAACTTCAATCGGGCCCCTAAAGTTTGAGTTTATTAATTTTAATTTAGTCTATATTGTCTAATAGTTTCAATATTATCTTCATAGTTTATTCAAACCTCAGCAATAATCCTTAACCTACTTTTTTATCCACACCCAAAAAATCGACTCACTTTTCCCTATTTTTTACTGTACCTAAAACATAATATAATTAGCTAACACAGTCAGCCACGGACTCGTTTTTTGTTTCTCGTTTATAATTTTATTAAAAAATCTAATCATTTGGCAATTATTTATGTTCTTGTTTCTAATTTGTTTCAAAACATAATAGAAATATTATCATGAGCGTTGAGGCCAAACAATTCTATTTTTCTTTATTAAAAAAAAATGTGAACGTTGTCAAACAACCCAAACTTATATATATCACATATTTAATATGATAACCACCCGAAAAATTAATGAAAATTTAGTTATAACTGAAATTAAACCCAAACTAGAACTAGAAACTAGATTGGGCAGTGAACCCAAAATCATAACAACCAAGTAAATAAAGCGCACACAATTATCATATTATCCAAAATACTATAAGTACAAAAACTAAATTATTACGTTTTTATAGTTTGAAGTTAAAAATAAATTATAAAGAGGTGAAAGCGAACATAGCTAAGTGGTAATTAACGGACTAAAAAAGTTGAAGTTGTACTTAAAAAAAATTAATAATAATAAAAAAGTTATAAAGGGATATATATGTGAGTTATGTTAAACTCACCCAAGTGGTAGTTCCAATGCTTGACAGATCCCACAGTGTCCCAATCACCATGATGCAGCTCAACAGATTTCAAATGTTGGGAACAAACAGTGGGTAACAAATGCATTTCCTTTCTAAACACTTGGTAAAACCTATTTGCCTCTGCCTTTATCTCTATTTCTCTCTCCAATTTCCCTTCCAAACCCATTTTTTAAAACTTTAAAACTTTTCCTTCTTTTGCCCTTCTTATATAGAGAAATTTGCAGCATATCTCCAACCCCAACCATTGATTATTGTTTCATCCAAAAAGTCACAACACCATTTAATTTCTTGTTATACAATATGAAAGTGAAGTATATGGAATTATTTTATTATTGGTCTAACACTCCCAATATATCTATATGAAATATCTTGTTTTTGTATTGAGATCGTGTAAAATATGATACGATTAAAGTATTAGAATAAGTTCAATGAGATATCTCGTGAATATAATATATCTATGTTGGATATTGGTTGAAGATTTTAATCAAAAGTTTAGATAATGGGATTATAAAGTCAAAGATTGATGAAACTGAATTGATTCGGCTGATTGGAAGAAAATGTTGATTAGAGGTTAGATTTGAAAAAAAATATTTTTTTGAGCATTAGGCATGTTTAGTTTAGTGACGTTACTATTTCTTATTTTATATTTTTCGTTTCTCGTTTTTTAAATAAAGAAAAATAAAACTGTGTTTGGTAATTTGTTTTTTTATTTTTTATTTAAAAAATAATACATTCGGTAACTATTTCTCATGCCCTTTACAATTTTAAATTAAAAAAAGTAAAAATTTTATATGAAAATTAATCATTAAAGTTTAACATTCAAAATTTTTTATGCTTTATTCATTTTTTAAATATCTACAATGAGAACAAGAAATTTAATGGTATTAGTTTCTAAAATTTCTACATAATTTTATATATCGTTTCTTAAAACTCATAAACGAGAAACATAAATAGTACCAAACGTTTCCAAAAGAATTGGAAAAGAGAAATGATTGGTTATTTTATTATTGTTGTTCTTTCTTACTATATTCTTTCTCAATTAAAACTGACTTTTCATTAAAAAACAAAATGTTAGGATAATTTATTTCAAAGTTTTTAATTTATAAGGTTCATTAAACATCCATTATAGAGGAAGTGTCAGCCAACATAAACTTAGCTCAACAGCAATAATTGGATATAACTGTTTTTTTGAACTTATGAGTTCGAATCTTCCATCACCCCATGCTGTATTAAAAAAGAATGCCAAATTTAAGTCAATGGATATTTGGAAAAAAATCATATCTATTTGAGAGTGAAATTTCTATATTAAAACATTAAAAATAATTTTCAAAATTAAATGCTCAACAAAAACAATCTTTTCTTTAAAAAAAAAGGGTTACTTAATACAATGGTCAATCCAAGAACAAAGAGAGGAAATTTTCAGACCCGAATAGTTTATTGATATGATGACTATTAATCATTGGGTACTCAAAATCTTTATTGCCATGAAATTAATTAACAAAATGGCTTGATACTTAATTTTTTTTATTTAAACAAAAAAAGGATTATTTAATTCTTATTCATCTTTGTAAGCAAGATCTCACACTTTGGATTTTTTTTATTTAATTATGAATCTCTCTAGATTTTGGGCATGATCTTATACTTAGATTTCGATTTTGTTATTAATTTTCTCCATTATTAGTGCCTACAAAAATAATTTGTCAACTTCTAGAATGGTACTAATTAGTCATCAATATTTCTTTCAATATTAATTTTATTTGAGAAGAGTGAACACAAAAATGAGATACAGGTATATTCGTCATAATAACATGTTAATTTCTAATAATCTAGGATGCAAATATGGCAAAACGACAAACTTATTATAATGTAGACATTATTTATCAACTATTAATGATTGACCAAAGCGTGTTTGTCGTACTCAACAAATGTTTAATATGTACCAATAAGATGCAAAATACATTCATAATGTGAATATTTATCTTTATATTTTATTAATAAATTGTGTTTAAATATTTGAATTTGATTATAATTTATTATTTTTTGATTAGGTTGAAGATATTGTAAAAGAACAAAATTCGAGCTTCACAAATTAGAGAGATAACTCAATTGATAACGTGTCAACACTCGTATCGAGGCCATACGCTCTAGATTGAAAATTATGAACTTTTAAGCTGTTTTGTAAATAAAGATATATAATCCAATTGAGAAATATGACACAAAATTTTTAATTGTGATTAGGAACTTTTTTATAGATAATTTTTTTTCCCATAAGTTAGGATTTTTTATTAGACACAATTACTTTCTTTTAATAAATTAAACTTTACTAGTTAAAGACACCAAAAACTCAAGATGAATCCTAAAAATATCTTTGAGGTGACTTTTATGCAAAATCTCTTATCTCTTATTTTTATCCACTGTTATTTATTAAATTCTCAAAACTCCCAATTTTAAATTTTAATAAATAAATCAATTACCAATTCTTGTGGATTCAAGGATCTACCTTACCATCTAAAATTATTTCTCATGATTATTTATTAGATTGTGTTGTACATTTTGATATTTATCGACAATCAAATATGAGTTTCTTTTTTGTATTTAATTAATTAAAAGTTAAAATTTTGAGAGTTTTTATCAAATTGCATGGGATGGAAACGTATTATGAAGAGAGATTAACAAAAACTTATTTATTTCTTTTTATATGTTACTGCTTCTGTATTTCCTATAAATATCTCTCTTCCTATCCTCTTAATATACACCAACACAACCTAAAATTCATATTCTCTTATCTAGCTATTTTCTCTATTCTCTACTTTACTCTTTTAAGAGCAATTGGCCAAAAGAAGGGTATTCTTTGTTGTGAAGCTTTGAGCTAAACCTCTAGTTGCAGAGACGTTTCAATTGGGTTGTTGCATCCTGGAGGGAACATGTCAGAATACCTATTGCACCGATGGTTGATAAAGAAATATATTACACCGCATAAGACTTGAATCTCTTTAAAGAAAGTGAGATACCCGTACCTCAACCTAATTAATTACGTATTTGTTTCTCAATATTTACTCCATTTACCTCTGTTATTTGTAATTTTCCGAACAAATTTCAACACATGCATCATGTACCCAACAAATATCAAATAACAATCATATTCAATTTGTTCAACCATTACTATCTTACAGACTTACACGTGTTTATTGTGCTTATCAAGTGTCTAACATGTGTAACATATTTATAAGAATAACACATTTTCCAAACTAAGATATCCATGCCACATTCATAGAATTGAGAGTCAATGAACTAACTACATAACTGTTTTTAAGAATTTTTAACAGTTTTTTTATTTTAAAATTTGAAAACTATTTTTTAAAGAAAATTTTCAAACAACCTACTGAATACTCTCAACATGAGAATAGCTAGCCCAATGTCGATATCTTCCAAAGTTCAAAGTTGATCGGACTTCACCTCCAAATTTTGTTGAATTAAAAGAAAAAAAAATCCACGAAATGTTACTTAATAAAACTAAATATGTAAACCAACACTCGATACATATCTTCAATGAATAGATCTGAGCTTTAAATCTCCAATATTATAATCACATGTTTAACTAAAAAGAGGGTAAAAATGTAATGTAATTAATGTAAAAGAGAAGATTTGAAAAGATAGAAATTTGTAAAATGGATATAATGTAATGATGATGCAAGGAAGATGTATGCATTAATTGGGTTTGGATGTGAAGGATTCTTCTTCTTCCAATTAATTAATTAATTATACATAATATCAACTTGCTGTCTTTTGTGTATTTTGTAATTATCATATATTTTGGAAATATTTCCTCTTTATCCTTATTTCCATTTTCATGAAATTATATATATAACGGTGTGATTATTCAATGATTCATTATCACATCACCACCTCTCTCTTTCTCTCTCCCTAAAAACCCTAAAAAACAATTGGGAAAAGAGAAGACATTTCTTTTTAAACACATAATTAATGCCATAACACAATTAACAAGAAGGTCTCTCTCGCTAAAATCCTTAAAAAATTATGGCAAACAAAATAGGGAATTTATGAGGTAGAATAATTTCTTTTTATTTATTTATTGTAGGTTTATAATTTACAAAAGTAAAGTATGCTGCTCTTGTGAGAGATGAGCAAATTTATGAGGTAAAATAATGATTTAAGTTAAATATATATTTAAAAATAGTATCGAATCTGGCAACCTAATCATAGTTTAACTGGTTAAGACACCTATTTTCGATCAAAAGATCGTGAGTTCGAATCTTCACTCCACATGCCGTATGTCGTGCTAAAAAAAATAATATCGAATTCACAATTTTAAAGTATATAAGTCCGGCCCATGAGCTCCTAAGGAGAAGTCTAGTCGATCAAGACATAGGGTCTCTTGATCATATTAGTTTAGAGGTTGCATATTCAAACCTTCCGATGAATTTAGTATAAAAAATCTTTTATGTCTCTCAAATCCGAACTTTTGAGAGGGGTCGAGTGTCCTGGGCATATGAGAGCAAAACCCGACCCATGAAAGGTGGGTGGAAGCAATAAACAAAAGGGTGGAGTTTAATTGAGGGGTTAAGGATAACAGAGAGAGGGGGAAGTAGTTGGAGTCTCATCAATTTTCTTCCCTCTTTTAATGCCTCTTTTCACACCCAACCAAACATTCATTTCATTGGGAAAATTAATGTTTTTTTCTTCACTTCTCTCTCTCTTTCTGGTCTTTATTTTAAAAGGTTTTGTTTTGGGTTAAACAAACTCATTCCACTGAACCTTCCATTGCTCATTTTTTTAATGATGGGTCTCTTCTCGAGAGCTTGAATTGAACCCTATTTTGTCCCACGATATTATAAGAAAAAACATACCATGAAATATCGTATCATTTCTAATGGTATTAAAAATAAATGGTATTAAAAATAAACAAGTATATCGTATAACTTCAACGAGAAGTACCGAGGGCCAAGGGACTTAAATCTTTAACGTTTATAGAAATAAGTAATGTCCTAACTAGTTTAGCTTAAGTCTTAGAAATTGCTCGTGATCCGTTGCTAGTGATCCGTTGCTACAAAAAAAAAAATATATATATATATATATATCTTTGTGTTGAATTAAAAGTTTAATCGATGATAAAGGGAATAGATGTTTTAAAATAAATTAAAATTA